CATATATGGCAGTACTTTTACTTTCGTTACTTGTACCGCCGGTACAAGTAAAAAGTACGTACTTTTACTTGTACTTCGTTACTTTTAAAATTTAGTACTTTTACTCGTACTTTCGTTACTTTTTTGGGAAAAAGTACAAGTATTTGTAACGGAAATATCGAATGAAATCGTTACTTTTTTCTGAAACTCGGTAAACATTTTAAAAAAAAATGCTTATGCTATTTTAATTTATAAAATTAATGTGCAATATATATGCCTTCACTGCTAACTTCGTGTTTAAATACCTTCTGTTTCAACAGTTTCAACTTATACTGCACATTCAATTATTTTTTACTAGCTCAAAGATCTCAAAGCTTCTAAACAATTTTAAATCATTGGTAATTTAAATAAATAAAAATAATAAACTAAAAATTAAAATCAATAGATAAAATTTCTTTTTCGTGCAAATCCATAAAAAGTTTGATATTAAAATTATATTTGATTTTAAAATTATATTATACGATTATATTATAAAATTATATTATAATATTCTTCCGAATTTAAAAATAAATTAATGTCCATAACTTTCAAAATTAAAAATAATTAAATAAATAACAACAATTTTGCAAAAACATTAAAGAACATAAGAATATTATTCAGTAAAATTTTAGGTTACTTTGAATTTTCGATTTCCTAGAAATGTACTTTTAAAGCGTTACTTTTTTTGTTCAGTACTTGTACTTTTACTTGTACTTTTTACTCGTTACTTTTTAAAATAAGAACTTTTTACTTTTTACTCGTTACTTTTTTTAAAAATACTTGTACTTTTACTCGTTACTTTTTAAAACAAGAGTTCAGTACTTGTTCAGTACTTGTACTTTTACTTGTACTTTTTACTCGTTACTTTTTAAAATAAGAACTTTTTACTTTTTACTCGTTACTTTTTTTAAAAATACTTGTACTTTTACTCGTTACTTTTTACAACAAGAATCTTGCGATTTAAAATAATGCTCGAAAAGCTGATTGAAGTAACATTTTCTTCTCCCTCTAGTCAAAGTAATAAGGCCATAGAAATGTGATTAAATTGTACGTTGCATTATTGATTAAACTGTAAGAAAACAATACTAAAATTAATCATTTATCTAATGATACACAGCATAAAAAAATTACTACTGTGAAACATTAGACGCCACAAGAGTCTTAAATAAAAATTAATTAGTTTCTAATTATTTTTTATTAAGTAATGTTAATTTTTTTAAAGAAAAGCTGAAATATAATAAAGAATACAATTGAGAATAAATTGTAAGTTGATTTATTGTTTCAATTTTAAAAATACTTTACTAAAAATATTAGTTTTCCATTTTTGCAAAGCTTTCAGAAATAACTGCCGAAAAACATTATAGGTCCCAAATACATTTTAAATATAAAAAAAAAGCATGAAAAATTTAACTAAAATTCCAATTAAGTTGTAGTTTTAGAATAATAAATTAATAACTATATTATTATATTGTAAATTAAATTTTTTGTCAGATTGTGATATATAAAATAATAAACAAATTAGTTTTCAAGTTTTTCACAATTAATAAATACTACTCCTCTGTTGTGTGCAAAAAAACTAATTTATTTACTTTTATTTGTTTAATTTTAGTTTTTTAGCATTACTAGAAAATCATTAAGATACATGAAAGAGGCTTTAAAAAAAGGCTTTTTTAAAGATTTCACTTTAATTATTGTAAAAGCATTGATGTCCATATAATATATTGCATAGTATATAGCGCTTATTTTAGAAAAAAATATAACAATTAAATTTTTTTTTGGTTTATTATAAGGATGTCCTACTTCATTTAATTATTTTTCTGAACTTATTTTAAAAATAATTTAAATGATAATGTAATATTTTCAATATAATGATCCAAACTATAAATTTTATTGGGTAATTAATCTCTTTGAAAAAATAAAGGACTGATATTCTAAATCTTAAAGATAGACTTAATTAAAATTTGATAAAAAAAGGTATTATAGAGTAATGGTTAAGTGAATAGATATTACCTAAGAAATATATATGATAAAATTTTTTTATTTATTTATTAGTTTAACACATTAAGTATATGCTAGAGAAAATATAACCTATTTCCAAATATAGGCTATAACTACTATTTCCAAAACTTGGAGTTTTCACGTTAAATTAAGAATTCTAGAACATAAAACAAAGTTTGAGGTTAAACATTAAATCGTAACACTTTCAATTTACCAAGAATTATGCAAATTTTAAAATTACATTTATTCTTAATGTATAATTTATATTTGTAATTTATAAAGTATTTATTAATATTTATAATGTGTATAAATTATGTAAACATTTTTTTAATGTATTTGCATATTTTTAAAACTTTTATATCAACACTATCTTTTAAATAATACTGTAAAAAATTATGTAGGTATGCAAGTACTAATTATTTGTCATGGTTATGAATTAAAGATGATTCAGCAGCAATTCGAAAATATTAATATATTATTACAGCTTAAAAATTAACAAGACGCTGATTATACTTTTTTTACCGAATATTTAAAAGTAATCAATTAGACTAGATTAGGATAAACTGAAAGAGCACAAAAATTAAATAAATAAAAAAAAATTACCATCATGGAATGTTTACTTGGTTGAACTTTTTACCAACACTTAAAAATAAATAATTCATTAAACAGTTTAAATTTAGAGATATGCGTTTTTTATTTATTTAATTTACATATAAAATAATTTATCTTAATATAAAATATTCATGCTAAAATATTTTGAACACTTGTAATTAAAACTATTTTTTAAAAATTGCAATTTGATAAATTTGTATGCAGAAAATTTGAATAATTTACTATTATCATGCATGAAATATAAAAATAATGAAATAGAGACTTGTTTCAAAACATTGTACTTACCTCTCTTATATTACGTGTAAGCAGACAAAAAAAAAATTTAAATTCTCACTGTCAGCAAAAATTATACAAAAAATAATTTTTTTTTTTTTTTTTTTTTAATTTTTTTTTTGCAGTTAAATCCTAGAGATAAAGATATGCTTTTATTTATTTTTTTTATGCTTAAAGTATTTTGGTGAGTTTTCATATTTGAATTTCGAACATACATAATATATTGAAAATTTTATGATTGATATTTTTATGCATCAGAATTTTCTAAATTACTAGTATTGTGCATAAAATATGAAATTTATTCAAGTAAAAATCAGCTTTATGTTTTTAAAAAGTAATTTAAAAACATGTGGTATTTAAATTTCTCATAACATTTGTGAACACTCGGGGAAAAAAAACTCCACCTGACATCAACAAAACAAACAAACTGTCAAAAAAGTTTTCTTCTAAAACCACGTGACTCAACTCAAAATGTAAACTTAAACTTTTAAGCTTCATCTACACAACAAAAAAGAAACAACGAATAAAATATTCGAAAATAAAATGATATTGCTTAAAAAATCGTTTGGCGTCCGCCATTACTGCAAAACAACAGCTCAGTCTCCATCGCTAATTACGGACGCAAGCAAAGTTTAATTAAAAAAGCTAGTCGATGTACAAAACAAGAAAATTAACACTTCCCGGAAAATCAAATGACGTACAAACATAAAAGTACAATGTACAGAAGAGTAATTGCTAACTAAAGAAATTTTGTTTTGATTTTAATCAATGCTACGTAATTAAAAAGATAACAAGAATAAACTCACCTCGCGCGCAGACGATGCAAATGAGCTGCCATCTTTGCGCGGCCATGTTATTCAGTCGGTGTCCAAAGGGTGACTCGGTTGTTAGGGGAAATCTCATCCGGTTGGGAGGGGTGGAAATCAGGGGTGCGGAAGAGAGGGTAAAGAAAGGGCTAAAACATATGGGTTCTCAACCAATAAAAATCATTCATGAAGGCGGTAATGGTTAGAATTTTTTTCTCAATATACAAATAAACTTTTGAACATATCTGAACTATTACTACAATTGAAAGTTTTTTTATTTTGTCCTAAGTTCGAACATTCAAAAAATTGAAATCACTTATTTAAGAGGAGTCTAGCCCGCATATGGATCCAAATTTAATGTAAATAGTGAAGTAAAATATGTAAATAGTGAATAGTAAAAAATGTAAATAGTGAAGAGTTTAAATAGAACGCTTACTTGAAAATATCTCTAAAAAATGGTAGCTATAGTTGCATTACTGTGAAGAAGATTTTTTATAAAAAATAAAAAAAACAATAAAAAATGAAAAAAACATTTTACTGTTTGGATCTATGTCTGAAACAGTAACGCACGTAGCAATGCTATACTACTTTTAATAAAATTAGGTTAAATAAAATATCTTAAACTTATCTATCATCCCTTAAAATGATTTTTTAACATTAAATATTAATATTGGATTGTCTATTACTTATAGATAGTATATATCCTGAAAATGTTGACGCTGTTCAAATAAGGTTGAAAATATTTCGAATTGCAATTTTACTAAATATATGTTTACAAACTAGTTCAGTTTTAATTGTAGTTATTTTTTATAAAGTTTAGACTTCTTGACAGTATTGAACCTAAAATTCCTTATTTCTATCTTCATATTTATCTGCAAAGCAAAACCAGTGTTCCTATATTAGATAGTGAATTAATGTATAATGGATTTATTCGATTCAATTTGAAAATTGCCAAATCATCACAGGATTAAAACAACTTCATAATATTTAATTTAATACATTTGTTAGTTTTCCGCAAATTGCCCTCTACACATATATTTTTTTTAAAAAAAAACACTCTATTGGGTAAAGTACACACTATTAGAAGTAAAGTACACACTATTGGGTTTGCAAATTAATATTTCATCGAGTGAGAAACAAAAAGGTATTTAAATAACTAGTGACGAAATTTAGACGTAAAAAGTCAAAATTAATTTGATTGCCTAAGGAAACTTGGAAACATTTATAATTGCCTTTTACTTTTATAGCTCTCCTCTGTCAATCAAACGAATTTTTAAAAATAAAAAATTTGCCATCTTTTTCGACGCCCAATTTTGATATAGTTTTTGTTCTTACTCCGTTTTAAAAACCAATTTCCTAACCTTAATGCCTTTACCACTATATACTATATAGTACTTTGCTACTATCATAAGAGATTTATATACTATAAAATAAATTATATATCTACTTCATTTTTGATGAAGGTTCTAAAATCTATAATGAAGGTTATTATAACAGAACACCCTATATGATTACATCAACTTATCAAGATTAAAAGCTTCAGTTTAGATATTTTTATGTTCTCTGTAAGTTTTGAATTAATGGATCACAACATTGATAACTTGTTTCAGGTATTCAATATAAATTGGAGAAATTGACAAGTTCACGAATCATATATGCTCAAATTTGTATGCATCATTCGTCAAAAATAGGTGTCGATTCTCTAGCATGACTTTTTCAGGTTTTGAAACATCAATTTTCATTCAAAATTTTAATTTTTTGTTAGTCGTCACTTTAAAAACTAAGCAACTTTAGAATTCATCAAAGTAAGTTTCAAAAACAAATGTTTTATTGAAAATAACAATAATATAACGCATTTTTATTTCAAGCATATTTTTATAATGCTCAATAACAAGTCAATTTGACCATTTGTAACGCCGCTTCCATTATATGAAAGCGAAGTACTCACACTGTAAAAATATTGAGTATGAAGTGATGGCACTTTAGGTGCGTCATCCATTAAATCAGTTTTTACCGTAAAATATTGTACCAAAATTTTTACTGTAAAATTTATTTACTTAATGATTCAGTGATTTTACAGTAGTTGTTACTGTAAAAATTACGGTGTATCCGATTTTTTGTTCCGTAATATGTTCCGGGAAAAATGGATTATACGTTAAAAAGTACCGGCATGCTGAGTGCCGGTACTTTTTAGCGTAATATGATGCGGGAATTTCTTACAGTGCTGAGCAATCAGCAAAATAGTTGATGAAACAATAATGATTAGATTTGAAACAAAAATATAATTTATTAATTTAAGAAAAATTTGAATGGATAAAATAAGCATCTTATAAAAGAAAAATCAATATTAAAGGGAAAAAAAATTTAATTTCTTTTTTGATTTTATACATTTGATTATTAAAATTACTTGTACCACATTGTAAATTTGTTTACTAACCATTATTTGAGTTGTGAAGAATTACGTTGTTAAAAATATTACCGCTAAAGTCGTAATTTTAAAAATTAAATGAAAATTCTCAAAACAGGATTTTATTTGATTATTTATATAGATAATCTATCCCTTAACAAGAAAAGCAAAATTATGTACGAATTTGTAATAAAAGTACTATTTGACACAACCTGAAAAAAAATACTGGATTATCAAACCTATTAACTTTGTTTTAGAAATTAGCTGTATAACATTCCGAAGGATTTTCTATCTATTTTAATATGTATAATATTATAATTATGAGTCTTAGTGTTTGTTTTCTCTCTTGATATATCTTTATTTTAATATTTTTATTCTTTTTATGCATTCCGGTGTGTTCTTTGTTTCCATTAAGTACGCTTACCCTGTTATCGATATAAATCTAGTATTTTATATCAGAAAAAAAAACAATTATTGGATTGCTGGGAAATTTCACTTTGTTTTGAAATTTAAAATAAAAAAGTTTCCTTAAAATTTAAAAAAGAAATATTAAACTGAAAATTAGTTAAGAAATATTAAAAAAATAAAAACATTTCAACTTTGAAATGGGATTTAAAAATGTTTGAAATTAAATCCCCCAATATAGTATATTTATAAAATTTAAATATGATTTTTATATAATTCTTGTATAAAAATCATCATTGAATTTATAGTGCTTTTCGACATTGATGTAACTTGTTTTGAACAAATAAATCTTTAGTAACTGAAATAATTTTATACCGAAAATAAATGAAGTNGTTATCGATATAAATCTAGTATTTTATATCAGAAAAAAAAAACAATTATTGGATTGCTGGGAAATTTCACTTTGTTTTGAAATTTAAAATAAAAAAGTTTCCTTAAAATTTAAAAAAGAAATATTAAACTGAAAATTAATTAAGAAATATTAAAAAAATAAAACATTAAATTAAAAAGTTTGAAAACATTGAGAAGATTAAATTAACTATATGAATAGTAATTTCATGCTTATCCGCTTATGAATAGTAATATTAATTTCAGTAAACTGAGATGCATTCATGTTATTATGTTTTTATACATTTTGCAGAATTTCTTCCATAGCTTTTCATTTTTTAAATACCATATTTTTCTGATAATGTTAAGAGCAGTTTCAGCATTGATTTTACGTAAATTTATTCTTTCTGTCTCTAGTATTTTTAAGCTTTTATTCATACGTTTAGTATAAATTAGTAATACACTAAAATAATATATGGAGGGAATATATAAATTCAAGTACATATTGTCATTTGCATGGTGAAATATTTTCTTTCTACAATAATCGTATATGCATTTTGGAAATATTTGTTTTCGTTTGAAGTTTAGCTATAAAACTTAAAAGGTTTTTATTTAGATCATTTAAAAAGATCTTCTTAAAATTGCTTGTTTTAAGATTTTAAACGATTTTCTTCCTTTTTTTAAATTATTATAAGCTGCAAACAATCATCATATAAAACTTTAGAAACAACAATATACTATTACAGTTTATCAAAATTTGATCTAAAAAATAATTCATATTTTTTAGTCTTATTTAGTTAAACTGTTCTACCGTAAAGTGCTCGACTTCGCGCGCAGGTCGTCGGGCTACCGAAGCGGGGGAGCCATTCCCTCCGTAGAGGATCAAAAATGTGATGGAATGTCTTCGGATCATCCTCAGGGATGTTTCCCAGACCGTCGCCTATAGCCCATTGTGCAGCTCTAGTGCGACGTAAATGAACAACAACAACAACAATTTAGTTGGCAAAATAAAAATTCGTAAGTGTGTATTGATTGATAGGGAGTAATTTCAATTTTAAAAAAAACCCTATTTTTTCTTTTAAAGCAAAAATTTTTCAAATTATTCTTTTAAGGACAAACGCTTCCAGGTGTAATAATCAGGTTCTTTATATCTGCCTTAAAAATTTTTTTTTAATGTTTTAAAGTTAAGGTAAGGCTTAAAAGAGATTTATAGTAATTTAGCCTTTTTTAAATTGTTAGAAACAAAGAGTAACATCGTAAGTCTTAATTGTTAAGAATGTTTGACTACATCCATATAAGCACTTGCTTAAAAAAAATTTGTTATTCACATTTGCGGGTTGTCATATTTATAAGACAAAATAAATATTCTTTAGCGAATATCGAATATATTTCGTTAATTTTAGTAACACCTTAAACCCTTTACTTTTAGATTCCTAAAGAAAAAAATTAAAAGGGGGAGAAAAACCTCCGTAAATTGTTCAGTAATTGAATATTATGTGGCACATGTTTAAAGATACTTTTCACTTCTCGAATTGTTATAAAATAACAGCATCATAATACCTTATAGACGGCAATATTGTACTAAAATCTATCTACATTTACTTAACAAATTAATAATTTGTATTTGCTTTATGTCATACTTAGATAGCTAAATTATTCTCGAGTTTTGAATGAAATTAATCCGTTGATTTTTAATAAAACATTTTTTTTCAGATGCTTGAAAACATCCTCATAAATTGTTTCTTTTTTTGTCTAACGTACTTCAGTCATTTTTTAATTGCTAAATTATTCTATATTAACTTCAACGCAAAACATTGCAGACAGCAATATTGTGACAAAATTTCTTTCCCTTCTCATGTTTTTGTACTTAGATGGTAAAATAAATGTTATTGGGCGCA